TCTTCATGGAGATTGGATCATGGTTTTTACATTTACGTGGATTCAAACAGGTGACATTTCCAGAAAGTGACATTCTGTGCCTTTTAAATCATCTAATAAACCCTTAATAATTACTGTGAATAAAGAAAAAGCTCTTGTACTACTTGGACAAAACACTAATATTCTGTTTGAGTTTCTTGCTCTAGTTCAGAAATCTCTTTTGTGAATGGTAAAACCCTCGTGTCCGAACGGCCGGTGTAGTTTTTTTTGCCGTGGGTTTTGCAGCGGTGCACTCCGGCCTTCAGCAGCAGATGATTGTGTGAAGCCTGATGGACTGTCTCCCTGGGATTACATTACAGACCATTAACACCATTAAAAACCCACTAAAGCCACTAAAACCTCAAGAACCAGTAACCATTTAACCATTAGGACCCACAGGAAAAACTGCTTCACTGGAGAGAGCCTCTTATCTGCAGGACCCCAAATGGCATGTTAAGTGCTTATTTGTCTAATATATCGCCGAGACAAGTCCGTTCATACGTCTTCATGCTTTGTCTCTACATGTTCGGAATCACACAAAAGAAATGGCTCAAATGGGCGTGACTAATCAACAAAGAATTATATGAATTTTTGTTATATTTAAATTATCTAGACAATAAATTAATGCTTTCTGGGTGATTCATACACGCCATATGCTGTTGTACAAATTTAATAAGCACAAGAAGTACAGACAATTTGTGATTTTTAAATGTTTTTTATCAAGCTGACATATTTTTACCGCAATCTGACAAAAGAGGAGGTGAGTTTGTGCTTTTGGAGGAGCGCTACTGCTAAACGCTCTTATACTGTTGTGGCCACAGCTGCCCTGGGGCGGAAATGAGGCTGTAAATCTGCTTAATAGGTTCTATTCACGCTTACCGGAAGACGTTTGGAAACACGCGGATGATGACTTGGGGTGTTGTTACCGACACTGGACGTGTGATAAATCGTGGACTCAGCAGCAGCGTCTTCACAACCTGACAAAGCTGAACAAGGGGACGGGACTCAGATTTTAAAATTATAATACACAAATGAAGTCACGTGACCGTTTTTGTTTTGGCCGCCATTTTGTGCCCCCCCCCCACCGATTAACCCATCAGACCCTCTAAAAAGTCTCAAAAAAATTAAAAATAAATAGTCCAGATGACATCCCATTCAGACGTGCGCAGGGTCAGCCCGATGTTCCTCCAATTGTGAAAGGTTTCTATTAGGGCTGGGCATTCGATTAAATTTTCTTAATCGATCGTCGGGAGAATTAACGATCAATTATCGATTAATCATTAACGTTTTTATATTAAAATTATCATCATTATTTTTACTATCTGCACTACTAATCTGCATAAATAAATTCAACTTTACGACATATAAACCGTAACGACTCTAGAGCCACATCAATCTGTTTGAGATTATAATGTGTTTAATTCAGTTTTGCGCAACTCTCACAGAAACGAAACTTAAAACTGCATCGCTAATTTGCATAAACTAAGCGAAGAAAAAAACAGCTCTTGTGTCGCTGATGTGGTTCAACTTCTGTCGGATTAAAAGACATGACTCAGGTGAATACAGGTTAGTGTGACCAGATTTGCGTTTGTCAAAACCAGGACACCGTACGGGGGGAGGGAGGTGGGGACTCGTCATCGACATTGAGCGACTCTCACCTGGTAAAACTTTTTCCCACTGGACACAGAAACATATGTGCTGCTTTGTACACTGTGCACATGGACTCACACTTGTCCCAACCGGAACGGAAAGCGTAGAATTTCTTCTAAAAGTCATCGTTAAATACGCATTTGCTCTTCGGTGTGTTGCAGACTGACCGACTGTTTGTGTCTCGCTCCTTCTGATGCAGAGACACATGTAAGGACCCCTGTTTGGTCACGCTACGCACAGCAACCTACATTCGGATTGTCAATTAAAATGAACGTAATCGATTAAATTCTGAATGATCAATTATCAATTAATCGACTAATCATGCCCATCCCTAGTTTCTACGTTCCCCGTTAAAACCGCGGGCCGTCCTCATCTCAAGTCATCACCACGAACTCATAAAACAGCAGCATGTAGAACTTTGTACACAACTCACCGCACATCAGCCCGGAGCAGAAGGCACTGAGTTCAGATAACAGCAGCAGACTCTGGTTTGGATCTAGTCCGACTGTGGCATTTCTCACACGAGACTGAATGCAGTTCATTTTATAAGTTGAATTAGCTGAAGAGCCTATTCAGTTTAGGCTGTCTGTGTCTTTTTCACTTTTCACATTTGAGTCTGTATCTCTCAACAATTCGGAGAAGGGGACCCCCCCGAATATTGACGGGTATTTGGCAGACTGTCGGCAGCTCCACTTGTCTCGTCTGTCATCTTCAACCTGGATCCGATACAACTGAATCCTGTGTCTTTATCTCTCTGTGCGCAATTTTTCCACCATATTTCTTAATGTGAAAATTAAAGGATCGACTCAAAAATGTGCTGACTTTACAGTGGTGGTCTAGTGGCGGTCTGGCTTGCCGGACTTTGCCGCTGGAAGTGGATCAGAGCAAGGCCGTGGCGTCACATGCAGGTTCTCTATAGGCAGTTTATAAAAGGAATAAAGAAAGAATACAATAAGATCTAGATGACGAAAACCAGGCCATTTTGTCGCCAACAGAGCCCAAATGAAGTCCACACCAGCATGTCAAAGCCTGATCCCGTCAGATCTCGGAATGTATGCAAGGTTGGGCCTGGTTAGTACTTGGATGGAAGACCGCTGAGAAAATCAGGTGCCACACGGGGGCGCTAGTCGCAAAAAACTGTCATGTTCTTAGGCAAGGCACTTCACCCACATTGCCTAGTAGGTTAGGTTAGGTTGCTTCATTCTTACCTGTAGGTAAATTTGCTTTGCAGATTTGAGAGGCAGGTCCCACATTTCACATTTCACTCCTCCAAATTATGTAAAATAAACGCGTATAAAAACACAATTACAAAATAAAGTGTTACCGTGCTCCAGTGCAGAATGGTTTTGTTCCATAAACAATTAATTAATCCAGTTTATGAAATAGAATGAAAGTGGTGTTGTGTGCGTGAGTGATGGTGGTGGTGGAAGGGGCCGATGGTTCAGATTGGCAGCTTTTCAGTCTGTCCCAGGGCAGCTGTGGCTACAATAGTAGTTTACCACCATCGGGTATGGAGTGAATGAATAATAATCTGGAAAGTGTCCAGAAAAGTGCTACATAAAACTGATGCATTTATTAGTAGGAGTAGTAGGGGTAGTAGTAGTAGTAGTAGTAGTAGTAGTAGTAGTAGTAGGGGTAGTAGTAGTAGTAGTAGGGGTAGTAGTAGGAGTAGTAGGGGTAGTAGTAGTAGGAGTAATAGTAGTAGTAGGGTAGTAGTAGTAGTAGTAAGTAGTAGTAGTAGTAGTAGGGGTAGTAGTAGTAGTAGTAGGGGTAGTAGTAGGTAGTAGTAGGGTAGTAGTAGTAGGTAGTAGTAGTAGTAGTAGGTAGTAGTAGTAGTAGTAGGAGTAATAGTAGTAGTAGTAGGGGTAGCAGGGGTAATAGGGGTAGTAGTAGTAGGAGTAATAGTAGTAGGGGTAGGGGTAGTAGGAGTAGTGGGGTAGTAGTAGTAGTAGTAGGGGTAGTAGTAGGAGTAGTAGTAGTAGTAGCAGTAGTAGGGGTAGTAGGGGTAGGAGTAGCAGTAGTAGTAGAAAGGGTAGTAGTAGTAGTAGTAGTAGTAGTAGTAGTAGTAGTAGTAGTAGTAGTAGTAGTAGTAGTAGTAGTAGTAGTAGTAGTAGTAGTAGTAGTAGTAGTAGTAGTAGTAGGTAGTAGTAGTAGTAGTAGTAGTAGTAGTAGTAGTAGTAGTAGTAGTAGTAGTAGTAGTAGTAGTAGTAGTAGTAGTAGTAGTAGTAGTAGTAGTAGTAGTAGTAGTAGTAGTAGTAGTAGTAGTAGTAGTAGTAGTAGTAGTAGTAGTAGTGTAGTAGTAGTAGTAGTAGTAGTAGTAGTAGTAGTAGTAGTAGTAGTAGTAGTAGTAGTAGTAGTAGTAGTAGGAGTAGTAGTAGTAGTAGTAGTAGTAGTAGTAGTAGTAGTAGTAGTAGTAGTAGTAGTAGTAGTAGTAGTAGTAGTAGTAGTAGTAGTAGTAGTAGTAGTAGTAGTAGTAGTAGTAGTAGTAGTAGTAGTAGTAGTAGTAGTAGTAGTAGTAGTAGTAGTAGTAGTAGTAGTAGTAGTAGTAGTAGTAGTAGTAGTAGTAGTAGTAGTAGTAGTAGTAGTAGTAGTAGTAGTAGTAGTAGTAGTAGTAGTAGTAGTAGTAGTAGTAGTAGTAGTAGTAGTAGTAGTAGTAGTAGTAGTAGTAGTAGTAGTAGTAGTAGTAGTAGTAGTAGTAGTAGTAGTAGTAGTAGTAGTAGTAGTAGTAGTAGTAGTAGTAGTAGTAGTAGTAGTAGTAGTAGTAGTAGTAGTAGTAGTAGTAGTAGTAGTAGTAGTAGTAGTAGTAGTAGTAGTAGTAGTAGTAGTAGTAGTAGTAGTAGTAGTAGTAGTAGTAGTAGTAGTAGTAGTAGTAGTAGTAGTAGTAGTAGTAGTAGTAGTAGTAGTAGGAGTAGTAGTAGTAGTAGTAGTAGTAGTAGGAGTAGTAGGAGTAGTAGTCTCTCAATACGATATTTTCACGATATGCATCTCGTGTTTCAATATTTATTGCTGTATTTTGTGTAAAAGTGTGAAAATGCGACGTTTCGGTCATAATGCAAATAATTTTGATGTAAAACTGTTTAATTAATCAGTTACTCCATCTTGTAAATTGGACTAAAACAGAGCAAAGGATCATGGTCTATGTAGTTCTCTGTTTTTAGCTCATACTGTACAATAATAATGTAATTTGATATATTGTGATGGTGCATGGCATTATTTTTGGCAATTCTATCAAAATATTTCGGTTATTGTTACATCCCTAACTCACACAAACTCACACACCACATTCTTTCTCGTTAATGTGTGTTGCTAATTTCGATTCCTGTCTCTTTCAGCAGTTGCACGACCACGTACGTCCTGGACGAGGATGAGCCGTCTTTCCTGGAGGCCATCGACTACAGCGCCGAGAGCAACGAAGAGGAAGAGACCGAAGCGGAGACCGAAAACACGGCCGAAGTCCAAGAGGCCCTGGAGCAGCTGTCCGACTCAGACAACTATCACAAGGACTGAGACGACCCCAAACTATGCGCAATGAAACGTCACAGGGACTGAAAACATTATCAACCACAAACACAGGGGCTGAAACATCACAAACCATAGGGGCTGAGTTTTCATCAAAATACACTTTATTCATCTAGAAAAAGAAATGCTGTCAAGTCGATTACTAAAATAACAAACAATATGATTTTAAACAACACCAGGGGCTTAAACATTATAACTATAAAGACTGAAACGTCACAACCACAGGGGCTGAAACATTACAAACCATAGAGGCTGGAATTTTCATCAAAATACACTTTAATCATTCTCTATTTAGAAAAAGAAATGCTGTTTACTCGATTTCTAAAATAATAAACTATATGGATTTAAAAAACACTAGGGGCTTAAACATTATTACTATAAAGACTGAAACGTCACAACCACAAGGACTGAAATGTTATCAACCGTAGGGACTGAATCTTCCTCAAAATACACTTTATTCATTTGATATTTTGAAAAAAAGCTGTCTAGTCGATTTACTAAAATTACTTAAAAAACTACATAGACTTAAAGGTGAACTATGTAACTTTTTGGTTGGGGGTCCGTCGACTGCTTGTTTCCAGGGTTCATTGCTGTACCTGGAATGTTCCACAGTGTTACATTAAACAGCTCTGCCTTAGATTTATTAAATTATAGGTGGTTTTATAGCTCAGAAATACCTAGAAAAAACATGCAAAAAAGTGACCGGTATCTTCCATGACATTTGACGGTAGCCAGGTCGGCGCAACCTTGTGCCTCTGCTCAATTTCATTTCTCTCCAGCGACTCGGGCAGGAATTGGAATACACTAGACGATTTGCAAAAACCCGGAAGTTATAGACCGTCCACTGGCCAATCAGTGAAGAGCTGTGAAGCCATGACGTCAAACTCAAGCGTCTGTCTGGGTCCATTTTGTGGAAACAGCACAACAGTAAACAAAGCGTCGAGATGGATGTAGACAAATACATACATTCTGTGTTGGTAACGATTCCCGAGATAGAGGATTTAAAGTTGGAACAAAGACAATGTTTGGTGAATTTTATCAAGGGGAAAGACGTTATTGCCCTTCTTCCTGCAAGATTTGGTGCATTACATAAATCACGACCAAATAGCAGCGATTGGTTAAATAAAAAAAAAGTACCTGTCAACCATCGAGCGAATGAATTATAATGCTGCGAGGTCAGACGGTTTCCACAAAGTGAAACCGGCTGATGAATTAGGCTAATTTGACGGACCCTCCACCAGAAAAGTTACACAATTCACCTATGAACAAAATCATAACTTTAAAGACTGAAAACGTTACAATCACAGACTGAAACTAAAATAACTGCAAGTACAGAAATATTACAGACAGAAATACTATTTAATGTACACTGTCCCTGGCAAATAAATAAATAAATAAATACTCTCATTAGACGACTTCTAAAATAACCAACCATAGGGACTGAAACGTCACAAACAGAACGACTGCAATGTCACAATCACAAATGTTCACTAAAGTGCATTGTTCCCGTCACATAAATAAATACAATAAGGTAGGGACATTTCAATATTTTTGCACACCCCTAGAATAGAGGTACTGAAACATCACAAACAGAAGAGCTGAAACAACACTACAGCTGCAATGATTAGTCTAAATATTTGTGACCTGGAAATAATCATAAATGTTAACTGGACCACACAAACGCAACACCAACACATGGAAAAAACATCGAAAGGGACTGAAACCTCACCAACCACAGACTGAAACCTCACAATCAACAAAACGTGTTCTCCTCACACTGTTCTCAACGACGCACTGCAAAAATGTAATATCTTGATGAGTAAAAACACTTGAATTCAGTATATTCACGTTAGATTTTTGTAGTTTTGACTGGTTTACATTTATTTCTATCCTGCTTTGATCCTGGTTTAGGCCTGACGTAGACTTGGTTTGGTCCTGGTCTAGTCCAGATTTAGTTTTAGGTTTAGTCCCAGGTTAGTCCGAGTTTAGATTTGTCTAGAATTGTGGACTTGCCTTAAATTTGCACTGCGTAACTATCCTGATGGAGTGTGTGCCAACAGCTTTGCCTAGAATGTTCCACAGTATGGCATTGAACTTATGTATCGCCATGGAGACAAGCACGCGACGCTAACCTGAAATATCGTCAGAGTTCTCACAATAACATCGTGGACCATCACAATATATCGAATTACAAGTCTCTTTGATTAAATTAAGAGTTATGGTGCAGCAAAAGACAGAGGGAACTACATAGACCATGATCCTTTGCTCCATTTCAGTGTAGACTACAAGAGTTCTAAGCACTTTTAAGTCTTAGTTCTTTGGATTAAGTCTTGTCAAGGCATTTAAGAGGAAAAAGTCGCATATTAAAAGTTTTAGCTGTTTAGCCTCCACAAAATATCGCAATAAATATCGTAGCACCCGTTATGGCCCTGATTTGCTTTGCTCATTAGACCCCACACCCTGTGCAGTTCAATAGGCCGAACTAACAAACAGAAACTGTAAACAAGTGTGTGTGTTAGTTTTAGAGTAGTTTCAGTGTAGTTAGCTCCTCCCTGCAGACAGATATAAGGAAGTGTCCACCAGCGTCTGACCAGAACTGAAGAAGCAGCTTGGATGAGCCGCGAAACGTCTTCAACCAAACTAACTTTTGACCAGTCGACAAACTGAATTTTCTCCTCGTCCCGGAAGTGCAAGTTCGCTCACCAGCCAATCAGCGAAGAACAATATATTCAGTGTTGTCAGCGATTCACAAGATCAAGGATTTAAAGCCGGAATAAAGAGAATGTTTGGTGAATTTCATCAAGGGGAAAGACGTTATTGCCCTTCTTCCTACGGGATTTGGGAAAAGCTTAATATACCAGTTCGCCCCGTGAACATCGCATTACATACGTCACGACCAAATAGCAGCGATTGGTTAAATGATAAAAAGTACCCGCGTACCGTCGAGCGAACGAATCCTAACACTGCGAGGTCAGACGGTTTCTACGAAGTGAAACCAGTTGATGAATCAGACTCGTACGTCTGCATACTCTGGCTAAATCGTCAAGGTGCGACAAGGCCATTAGAATTCATGTTTTTCAAGGTATTTCTGAACATTTAAACCCTTCGTAATCAAACAAATGCCATATTGTGGAACATTCCAGCGCAAAGCAATCGTATCTCCAGGGAGACCTCCACCGGAAAAGTTACGCAGTGGATCTTTTAAAGCATTTCAGACAGGTTTCGGTATTATTACATGTTTTTCTTGTTCCGTGCAGAAGTTATTAGTCCGTTGAGGCTTTTTGACTTATTGCGTTGACAAATTTAAGTACAGTTCTCTTACTTCCTGTCTGAAAAACAAACACTATTACGCTCGCAGGAAATAAATCTTTACTCGTCGAAACTACTCGCAACAACATGAATATCGTGAATGTATCTTTTTAATACCTCGTAGATATGAGTTTTTACAGTGCGCGGACTCCAGCGTGTGAGTTTCCCGATAATCACATTTACTTCTCACCTCCCCGTGTTAATATGGAGCCATCTGTTCCTCTCAGACTCTACACAGCTGTATTCTTTGTCAGTCGCTCACTGAATGTCTCTGCACCTGCCACTCTTGACGGGCGCGGGCTAAAAATGGACTCTTCTTATACTGTGTCTCCATTCACGGCGCTGAGGAAATTTATGCTCACAAAAAACACTTATTTCAGGAGCGTTTTCTCACTGTTTTCATAGCTGCATCTTAATTATACGCTAAAATGACCTTAAAGCTACCATCCGGAATTAAACCTGTTGTATTCTCACGCTTCACCACGAGATGCCGCCTGTGTTACTGCTGTCACAGAGAGAAAGACCTCAATGCACAGGGAAAACGAACAAAGGCAAAGGCCGTGTCTCAGTTCTCTTTCCTTGATTTCTCTCCTCGATCCTGCGTTTTTCAGTCAATCAAATGTTTCCCAAAGAAAACCACGGAAGGAAGGAGTAAACATGCACTAAGGGAGCATTCGGGAGCAGACGTCAGAGAAAAGAATCAAACTTTATTGGTCTCAGTGTGCACCTACGGGACCCGACGCAAAACAGAGCGGCATGGGACTCATTTTGAAAGCTCATAGCAGGCGCAGGAGGGTGGGATGATAAACTGCAGTCCCGCAAACTAAATATGAGTGTAAATGAAAATATACAAATGATTAATGTTTGCCTATCATACATAATTTGTGCTGGATATTTTATTTGGCATTAATGAAAACATTTTAAGACGCCTAAACTTGCAGATGTGGTTTAATCTCGCACACATTTTAGACAATTCCTTTCCGCTTCTCTGTGTTTGATAGAGCTTAAAAAAGCAAACGTCCACGTCTTGCGGGACTTGCGGGTGGGAACAGAATATCGCCGATGCGGCCTTGAGCTAGTCAGGCTGGCGCCACCTAGTGCCTCCGCTCAGTTTCATTTCTCTCCAGCGACTAGGTCAGGAATCGGAATGCGCTAGACCACGGCTCTCCAACCTTTTTCTTCCCGTGAGCTACTTTCTGTTAAACGAAAATGTCAGAGAGCTTCTAATTTTAGGGGTTGCCAGAAATGGAGTAAATATAAGAGCCATGGCAAGCTTTAAATGAGGTACAGTTAGACGTCTATAAAAAAAATACCATTATCCAGTAATCAGTGCACAAAATTAGGCAACAAAATGATACATTTACAGTGGAAATAGGCACTTAATCAGTCAGATTTGACTTATTCAGGGCAATATGTATACTTCAGAAATCCCTTGATGAGCTCCTTGGAAGGGGGTGGAGAGCTACTGGAGCTACCACAGACGTTGTAGAGCGCACACCGGACAATCAGTGAAGCCATGACGTCAAACTCAAGCGTCTGTCTGGGTCCCTTTTGTGGAGCAGCACAACAGTAAACAAAGCGTCGAGATGCATGTAGACGAAGACAGACATTCTGTGTTGGCAACGATTCCCAAGATCGAGGATTTAAAACCAGAACAAAGAGAATGTTTGGTGAATTTTATCAAGGGGAAAGACGTTATTGCCCTTCTTCCTACGGGATTCGGCGCATTACATACGTCACGACCAAATAGCAGCGATTGGTTAAATAAAAAAAGTACCCGCCTACTGTCGAGCGAATGAATCCTAATGCAGCGAGGTCAGACGGTTTCCACGAAGTGAAACCGGCTGATGAACCAGTCTAGGCGGGAGCGGGAATGAAAATTACAATTCTTTGCGTGACCGGACAGGAGCGGGACTGAAAATTCTATCCTGCGCCGATGTCTAACGAGGAGTTTTTATCCTCTGTCGTTTCTTCATCTCTTCTGTAGTTTCCCTCCCATTTCCTGAAGAATCAAGGAGAAGAAAGCGAGGAAAGAGAAACGAGACGAACAAAGTCCAGGTGAGGTGAGGACCAGGTTTCACATCTGCCATCTACTGGTGAAAAAAAAAAAATCAAATAAGCTTCCAGATGGTAGCTTTAAGTTTATTATATTCACGTCCAGATACAAGATACTCAAAGCGCTTTATTGCATTATTTATTCATACACCCATACGGCATCTCAGACCACCACCGATACCATCTCACCAAGATGCGGCATTTATCCATATCAGGTGGGTGAAGTGTCTTGCTCAAGGACACGATACCTTCCGCTTGATGGGCATTGAGTAAACTGGCAACCTTAAAATGATTTATTCAAGTTATTATTATCAGTTGTGATGGAGCGACCCGTCTTTAACTGTGGACTTCTTACTGTATCTACTGCTACTTATACTACTTCTACGGCTGCGAATACTACCACTTTGAGTACTGTTACCACGACGATTACTCGTACTACCACCTGGCTTTGCGCTGAAATGTTTGTGCATCTACTGTCCATCTCGATCTAATCCTGGATTGTTAAAAGTGCACTATAAACCCTCACTACAGAAAAGGAAAGGCTCCGTACCCGATTTTCGCCGTCTTAAAAACGCGAAAAAATGGAAATACTTCGTTCGAAAGAGTTTGCGGTGGCGCTTTTTGCTCGAATACGCGGGAAAGTCGGGTACAAGGTCTTTAATTCACGACGTTATTTATTGTAAAGTGGGAAAATTTATCGACGTTTGTTGTTTTTTAGACGATACGTTTTGCTGCACTCCCTCAGACCTCAGACACCTAATAGCCTGGAATCCTCATCGCATTTACCTGATATTACTCGTGAGCTCTGTTTTCCTGCTTAAAATGTTTAGTTTTTTTCTCTGTAGATAATTCCTTTCTTAAATCCTAGGTCTTTCAAATTCATCCACTGAACCACAGATATTTGAAAAACTGCTGATTTAGAAAACTGGACCTATAAACAAATAACCAGCTCTGGAACGACTTGCCTTTCTCTGAACTTTCAAAATTTCGCCGTTTTTATTTCGTTTAGCTTCAGTGTTAGATTTAAAGGTGCACTGCGTAACTTTCCGGGCAGAAGGTTTGTTTCTACGGAGCTCGGAATGTCACGCAGTATGGCATTAAACTCCTCCATCTCGCGTTGAATCAATCGCGTTTGTTTTAATCGCCTTGAAAAAGCCTGCATTGTTACTGTGAGCGTTCTCGCCTCTCCACAGATCTGCTCGTCTCCACGGAGATAGAAAAGTTTAATAATCCGTGTATCATTCGTTTTTTCAAAATAAAACCGAATATAAGAAAATTAAAATGAAAAAAACAACTATTTACTTCAGTATTTGTCTCCAAAACCAAAATGAAAGAACAGAAATATACAAATAATGATTCATTTTTTCAGTTTCGATTTTGTGTTTAAATTAAAAATGGAAAAAAGGAAAAAACGGATAAACTGTAACGACATTTCCCCGTTTACATGACTTAAACTGTGATGCCGGACTGAACCAGGATTGAACCAGGACTGAACCGGGTCTAAACCAGAACTAAACCAAACCAGGTCTAAACTGGAACTAAACTGGAACTAAACCAGAACTAAACCGAACCAGGACTGAACCAGGATTCAACCAGGACTGAACCGGGTCTAAACCAGAACTAAACCAAACCAGGTCTAAACTGGAACTAAACCGAACCAGGACTGAACTGGGACTAAACCAGGACTAAACTGGAACTAAACTGAACCAGGATTGAACTGGGACTAAATCAGAACTAAACCAGAACTAAACTGAACCAGGACTGAACCAGATCTAAAGTAGGACTAAACCGTTGCAGTCCTGGTCTGGTCCGGTCTTGGTCTGATCCCGGCCTCAGTCTTGGTCTGGTCCTGGTCTGGTCCCGGTCTCACTTCTGGTCTGGTCTGGTCCTGGTCTGGTCCCGGTCTCAGTCCCAGTCTCAGTCCTGGTCTGGTCCCGGTCTCAGTCCTGGTCTGGTCCCGGTCTCAGTCCTGGTCTGGTCCCGGTCTCTGTTCTGATCAACAGTCTACGCGGGCACACCTCCGGGACTGTCCTGACACTTAGTCCTGGTTTAGAACTGGTTCAGTCCTGGTTCAGTCCATCATCACAGTTTAAGTCACGTAAACGGGGAAATGTCGTTATCCGTTTTTTCCATTATTCATTTAAACACAAAATCGAAAAATGACATTTTTTTCATTTTGCTTTTGGAGACAAATAATGAAGAAAATTGTTGTTATTTTGTTTTCTTCTTTTTGGTTTTATTTTGAGAAACAAATGAACGAACGATACACGGATTATTAACGCTGCCGTACTTTGGAACCTCCTGGAAAAATGACTTCTATCTCCATGGAGCAAAGAAATGTTACGCAGTGCAGCTTTAACCACGTCAGAAATTTGATTTTGCTTGTGATTTTTATAGATTTTTATTTTATTTTTTTCAAACACAACTTTAAGAATGTGCTTTTTTGGATTTAAACGAGACTTTGTACATACGATACGCACAACACACCTCCACTTGGGTTTTTACGCTGGTGCGGACTGAAAAAAAAGTGGAATGTTACGCTAAAACATTACTGTTGTCGTCTTAACTAAATCACAGTGTTAAATCATCAAAGTGTTCTATCTATAATCACATTTGCACTTTGGGTAAATACAATTCTATACACACACAAACTGTCACTTTACAAATCTGTACACAGGATGAAACTGGGATCGGACGTGTTGCCATTTTCGTATTTCTCGAGATTTTATTGACGTGAACGTTTAGAAACAAAACCAAACCACAGAGAGGTCCTTTATTTATGAAATGTACAAACTGAATTGAAATTAAAATTAAATTATAGCAGGTTTGAGTTTTTACAGTTGCTTTGGGTTTGATTTTCACTCACAAATGCTCTTTTTGCATTTTGCCGGGATTGTTATGTCATAGTTAAAACTCTTTGATTGTTTTGGGTTTCGTTTTTTTTTTTTTGGTAAGTCATGTCCAAAGTCGTAATCTTTGAGCACTCACAAAAACAAAACAAATCCCAAAGCAATCCAAAGTCTGAGTGCTCACAAATGCTCTTTTTGCGTTTTGCCAGAATTGTTATGTCATAGTTCAAACTCTGGACAAGATTTACCAAAAAACAAAACCCAAAGCAATCCAGAATTGTAATCTCTGAGCGCTCACAGATGCTCTCTTTGCTTTTTGCCTGGATTGTTACATCATAGTTAAAACTCTGTAAATGTATAAAATGAAATGAAAATGAAATTATAGCTTGTTTGGAGGTCAAAGGGCACTTATTATTACTCATAGTAGTAATTTTTTGGTAAATCGAATCCATGTTTTTTTGGTAAATCATTTCCAAAGTCGAAATCTCTGAGCGCTCACAAATGTTCTCTTCGCATTTTGCAAGGATTGTTATGTCATAGTTAAACTCTGGGTTGCTTTGGATTTTGTTTCTTGTAAAGCTCTGAGCTCTCACAAATGCTCTTTACGCATTTTGTTATGTGATAGTTAAAACTTTGGATTGGTTTGGGTTCTTTTTTTGGTAAATCTTGTCCAAAGCCATAATCTCTGGATTGTTTTCGGTTTCATTTTTGGGTAAATCTTGTCAAAAGTCGTCATCTCTGAGCGCTCGCAAATGCTCTTTTCGCATTTTTCCAGATGTTATGGTATAGTTAAAATGCTGAATTGTTTTTGGTTTCGTGGTTTGGTAAATCATGTCCAATGTCAAAATCTCTGAGTACTCACGAAAGCGCTTTTTTACATTTTGCCAGGATTGTTAAGTCATAGTTTAAACTCTGAACAAGATTTACCAAAAAAACAAAACCCAAAGCAATACAAAGTCATAATCTCTGAGCGCTCACAAATGCTCTCTTCGCATTTTGCTAGGATTGTTATGTCATAATTGAAATCCAAAGCAACCCAGAGTTTTAACTATGACATAACAAAATGGGAAGAGAGCATTTGTGAGCACTCAGAGATTATGACTTTGGACATGATTTACTAAAAAAAAACAAAATCCAAAGCAATCCAGAGTTTTTTTTTTGTTTTTTTTTAGTAAATCGTGTCCAAAGTTGTAATCTCTGAGCGCTCACAAATGCTCTCTTCGCATTCTGCCAGGATTTTTATGTCATAGATAAAACTCTGGATTTTTCCTGGCAAGTTTTTAAGACCATAAACCATCACCAGACCCATTCTATCGACAACAAACACATGGATCTTTTAGCGAAGCGGTCAAAAGAGATTTACTTTCTGATTTACTTTTGTTAATTCCCATTGCTGACAGCAGAGGGAGCTCTAACGCCTAAAGGCCTTATTGGAAATGAAGATGTAGTGTTTAAAGTGCGCTTTGTGTTGCATTTTTTGTATGAAAAGCGCTCTATACATAAAGTTTGATATATTGAAAGTGTATTTTCTCAAGGCAGACATGATTTTAAGTTAGAAAATGTGACATAACTATCCCAAAGCAGGACCCAGAGCATGTTTAAAGAGAATTAAAGCCACAAAAATTCATCATATGTTCTTCTTATTTGCCCATACTTCCGCAATTTACAGATTCATTAGTGTCTGGGGAAAATTTCATGTCAGTACCAACTTCAGAAAAAACGAAAAATGCCAACATGTCCGATCCCACGTTTAGCCCCGGTATCCTCTTCTGAACCTCCACTCCGAAGGCAACATGAACTTTTACTAAATGTTTTGAAAAGTACTGGAGTTATTTTGTTTTTTTTCAGATGGTGCTCTGTAAAAAGCTTTAAAGTGGGACTCTGCTGTTTTTTTTTTTTTGTATAGATATAGTGGCATGGCTACTGTGATTTTTAAGTTAATTTATTATTTATTTGTGACGCGACATTGGTGCGAAAGAGAAATCGCGTGCGTGTGGCGGGAGTTTTAAAGCCGCGCTGTGCAACTTTTCTGGTTGAGGAGCTGCTCGGCGCTTGCTTTGCCTGGAATGTCCCGCAGTGTGGCGTATAAACGTTTCTGTGTCCATGGAGACGGGCTCGAAGGCGTTTTGTTATTTAAGGTCAAATTTTAGCAATAACAACACCTGGAATTGTAAAGTTAAATGCCATACTGCGGGACATTCCGGCGTAGTAGAAACATCTCCATGGAAACGAGCAAATGTCATACACTCAATGAGAAAAGTTACACAGGTTTTTCATTTGATTCTCTCCTTTTAAACGCTTTTCCTCAGTATTTTCTTTTCTTTTTTTGGATCTGTCGTACTTTGTTTTCATGTTACACAAACATTATTTCGTCGCAGTCACGGGAGCTTTGTGAAAAGTAAAATCCATTCGTTCGCCGGAGGAAAGGAGCAGCGACCGTAGCGCTTCGAGAAATGTCACGTGAGGTTTATTTATCCGAAGAAAATATTGTTGTTTGTGGAGACGGGAGACACGAGAATTATGTGGTACAAATGTTTACTGTGTTCATTTCATATAGAACGATGGCGTAGACTGTACAGAGCTGGTGTAGGGGCTTTGTTGTTATTATTCTATCGTTTTCATTATTGTATAAATAAAGTTTGACACAGTGGAAAAGACTCTTGTGTTACTTTATAGAAAACGTTACACCTTCATCAGAGTTTAGAAGAACAACTATAAACTTAAAAGGTCCATATTACGTTATTTTTGGAGCTATTATAATGTTGTTTTTGTCGTAACAAACAGACCTGGAGTTGTGTTTTGTTTCATTCACACGTTTATTTTACAGATTTAGGCTGAGTTCTTTTCTCGAACTGAAAACGCTATTCCATCCATCCATTTTCTTCCTCTTATCCACGGGCAATAGTCTAAGCAGGGACTCCCAGACTTCCTTCACCCTGGACACTTCCTCCAGCTCCTCCGAGGGGACCCCAAGGTGTTCCCAGGCCAGCCCAGAGACATGGAGCAGGCTCAAGACCCACCTGTTTAGCTTGGCTTTTGAAAGAAATATCATATTTTTACTAGTTTCTACTGTACACATTTTATTATATTTATTTATTTTAGGCATATTTTTTAGGATTTCCAGTGTTTCCTCTGTAGGAGCCTCTGCATCAGGAGCGGAGGTCGGCTGTGGCTGTCGGGGTCTGTCCCGTGGGCTCCCTGAGCTCTGTGGTGGTTCCTGGTGGTGGTGGACGTCTCTCTGCTCCTGGTGTAGACGGTAGAGATGCGCGGATTGCGGTTACAACCGCGGTATCCGCGGTTAATACGCGGGTCGGGCGGATGACGTGACGAAAAATTATATTTTAATTAAATTCGGGCGGGTGGTGGTTTAACTAAAAAAAAAAAAAAAAGTTATTGTTAGTATTGTTACCTACATGTGAAAAGACGAGTGTCATTGTCTATGCTTGTATGAAGTGTACGTCATGTCCTTAATTAGCCCATTTGACCTCGTTTTTATGTTCTGAAGGTTAAGGTTGTGTCGGGTTATTGATGCCTAAGGTTTACGAGGCACATATTATATGCAGTTTATTTTATTATTTCTAATTTATTTCAGCTGTTTGCCAACACATAAGTGGCTATAGGGCCATATTTATTTAGTTATGCATATTTTTTCTTGTCTATTTCAATTGGAATATAAAGAGGGCATTGCCTGATTTCAATAAAGGTTCATCTGGATGAGATGATCTGTCTGTTTTGTTTCGATATCAGATATTTTAAAACACGCAGACATTATAGCGTAGACTGCCACTCGGGGTTTTTTAAAACTTAAAGAAAGACCGATGGAGTGAGGCTATGACTTTGAAATAACATCGGGTAATGGCAGAATGTTCAGAATGTAACAACATCCAACACGAAGGCAAGAAGGTTCAAAAATAGTCCTAGTCGGAAAACGTTGTCAATTAATTAGCTGCGCAAGAAAACCAGGTAAATTTGCGGTTGTTACGGACAATTCAGAATGCGAACAAACACGCTGAGCGAATTTTGGAATGAATGAGCTACAGAGTTTGCATTTTTCTCGAGGCTCCTTAGTTTGTTTGCTGTATGATTGTTCTAAAATCTAAAATCAATCGGCGGACGGCGGCGGGTGCGGTTTTGAAAACCTTCGGTGCAAAATGGACAGCGGGCGGATGATGAGTTTTGTGTCGCAGTTGCGGATGAAAAAATAGCCCATCCGCGCATCTCTAGTAGACGGCTCCTCTGAAGATGCTTTCTCAACTGGTTTGCCTGTATTCAGCCTCACATTTTACTATGTTTTATGTATTTTAGCATGTTAGTCTGTGTGTTTGTGTTGTCTGGTTGTGTGGAGTCGGGCAGCTGTGGGGTTTGGGTGGGTGGAAATGTGGGATTGTTTTTAATCTCTGTAAAGCACTTTGTGTTACATTTTTGTATGAAAAGTGCTTTATAAATAAAGTTTGAATTGATTTGATTTGATAGTTCCTCCAGCGTGTCCTGGGTCTTCCCTGGGGCCTCCTTTTCTTTTTCCCTCTCCTTAACCGTCACCTTAACGTGGTGGAAGGGGTTCATTCTTCCAATAGACTTTACAAATAATAATAATAATAATAATAATTTAAAAAAACTAATAAATAAATAATACAAGTTTGAAAGCTCAGATCCAATCAGCTCTTTGGTAACTGATGAACACAAAACCGTCATTTTTGGAAACGTTATAAGTTAGCTATGCATTTATTTATTTACTGCATAAATATATGAATAAAAATTAAATGCACAGCGAACTTGTAACGTTTCCAAAAATGACGGTTTTGTGTTCATCAGTTACCACAGAGCTGATTGTGCTGAATCCTGTGTTTTAAATTTGCTTTTTGGATTGAAGCTGGTGCCTTTGAGATGCCCTTCAACTCTTAAAATTTGAATTAAAAAAAAAAGTCTATGGGGAAAAATGTGTAGAAAATGTGCGTCCAGAACCAGATCAGGACGTGTCCATGAGCTCCAGTCTGTCCAGTCGTGTTTAGAGTCAAACTTTCACTTTGACTAAGAGGGTTTTTTCAGTCAGTGTCTCTCAGCCCGGGTTCAAATGTTGGATTTACAGCTCGCCTGGTGCTCAGCTTCGGGTCCTCAGGTCATCTTCGGGTCATCTTCGGGTCCTCAGGTCGTCTTTGGGTCATCTTCAGGTCGTCTTCGGGTCGTCTTCGGGTCCTCAGGTCGTCTTTGGGTCGTCTTTAGGTCATCTTTGGGTCGTCTTCGAGTCGTCTTCGGGTCATCTTCAGGTCGTCATCGGGTCGTCTTCGGGTCGTCTTTGGGTTGTCTTCGGGTTGTCTTCGAGTCATCTTCGAGTCGTCTTCGGGTTGTCTTCAGGTCGTCTTCGGGTCGTCTTCTGGTCCTCAGGTCGTCTTCGGGTTGTCTTCGGGTCGTCTTCGAGTCGTCTTCGAGTCGTCTTCGGGTCGTCTTCGAGTCGTCTTCGGGTCGTCTTCGAGTCGTCTTCGGGTCGTCTCCTCGGGTCGTCTTCGGGTTGTCTTCGAGTCGTCTTCGGGTCGTCTTCGGGTCGTCTCAGGTCGTCTTCGGGTTGTCTTCGGGTCGTCTTCGAGTCGTCTTCGAGTCGTCTTCGGGTTGTCTTCGGGTCGTCTTCGAGTCGTCTTCGGGTTGTCTTCGGGTCGTCTTCGAGTCGTCTTCGGGTTGTCTTCGGGTCGTCTTCGAGTTGTCTTCGGGTTGTCTTTGGGTCCTCAGGTCGTCCTCAGGTCGTCTTTGGGTTGTCTTCGAGTCATCTTCGGGTCGTCTTTGGGTCGTCCTCAGGTCGTCTTCGGGTCGTCCTGTGCTGCTCCTCTGACCTCTGCTTTTCCGAAACTCTCCAAACCTTCTGTAAGAAAATCATTTGACCCGGAGTTTGGTCAAAGGTTCTGAGTCGCCCCATGTATTATTCAGGAAAGAGAGGGAGGAGGAGGAGGGAGAGAAAGAGAGAGAGAGAGAGGGAGAGGGAAAGAGAAAGAGGGAGGGACAGAGAGAGAAGGGAGAGAGGAGGGGAGAAGGAGAGAAGAGGAGAATGGAGGTAGAGAGGGAAAAGCTGGGGTGAAGGGAGGCGGAGCGGGTGAAAAAGGAGGAGGATGGAGGGAGGGAGGGAGAGACTAGAGAGGGAAGAGATAGGGATGGGGGAGAGAGAAGATGGAGGAGGGAGGGAGAGAAGGAAAGAAAGAAAGAGAGTGAGGGGCATTGCAGGCAGAGGAAGATGGAGGGAGCGTAGAAGGGAGGGGGAAAGGGAAAGGAAGCGGGGGACAGAGGGAGGAGAGAGAGAGAAGGGAGGGAGAGGGAAAAGATGAGAGAGAGAGGGAGAGGGGGAGAGATGAGGAGGGAGAGACCAGAGAGGGAGAAAGGGAGAATAAGAGTGAGAGAGAAGATGGATGGAGAGAGAGAGAGAGAAAAGAGATTAGGAAAGGGTCGAGTAAAATTGAGAATAATGATGGGAAGAGAGGCGGAGGAGAGAGAGAAGAAGTTTAAGAGGAGAAGTAAGAGGGGAGAGAGAGAGGACACAGACAAATAGGAGAAGGAGGGGAGGGAGAGAGGGATAGGAAAGGAGAGAGAGAGGGAGGAAGGAGGTAGAGAGTGAGGAGTGAAGGATAGGAAAAGCAAGAGGGCAGA